ATTATGAAAAGGGAAGGTGCAAGAACCCTTTTCAACCATGGTTATCCATGGGCTCTTAGTTACTTGTTTAGATCACTTGCTTTTGCTTTTCAATTGTTTGAAATGGTGCTTTGTGTGTGTGGTTTTGAAAATGCTTTGAAAAAGAGGCCATCATTGTGGCAACCTTTGTAATGATTCTTCTTTGAATATATACAAAGGTGTTTGTCTTTTGAAAAGATATTTCAATATTTTGAAAGTTTGATTTGGGAAATGTTTTGAAATTATGTTGTGAAGTGTGTTTGAAAATAGCAAGGATGTTTTGCAAGTTTTGATCAAGTAACTAAGAGTCGTCTACCCTATTTTACTCAAAGATCTTTCCTATACGTTTTTAACCCTTTTGACAGTGTTGTTTTACCATTGTATTTGGTAAACAACTTTGTATTAGGATGTTAAACGGGACAGGCGTGGGTCATCGTATTGACCATGATAGCAATTGTGCTAAGTATCTTTAGCAAACTTTTGAGGGAATAGATCATTTTGTTTAGGCAACCAAGATAGCGTCATCGAGGGACTATGATCTTTTTGTTTTGATTTTGTTTTGCCAAGATACCTAGCGTGCATACCATGGCCATTTGTTTAGGAAACCAAGTGGAGATACCTTAAGGGTGTTGGTGTGCAAGTGTGTTTTATTGCATACATGATTTTATCTTGAATTAGGATTTTCTATTTCATTGATTTTATCTTGCCATACATATCCTAATTACTAGCATTTACATTCAAAAGCAATAAAAATGCAGAAATGTAAAATCCTACGCTATTATAATATTTAGGGGGTGGGGGATACACACTTGTACATGGGGGTGGTTCAACGAGAAAAATAGAAAAGAAAATAAAATAACAAGGGGAAGAAAAAGAGAAAGATAGAGAGGGCTAGCGCGCTGCTGAGAGGAAGTCAGAAGTTCTGACCCAGGCTTGTTGCAGGATATCAACCTGTTAGTGAAAATGTATGAGTCAGAACTTTTGACTCTGGTGCCTTGCAAAACAGAAACCTGTTAGTGGGAATGTCAGAAGTTCTGACTCCCATGCGCTGTAAGACAAAAGTTTGTTAGTGGGGAAGTCACAAGTTCTGACCCTGCTGGAAACACAATAATTTTCAGAAATTCTGATATTATTGACAGCAAAACAAGCCTCAGAAGTGCTGACGTCAAAGTCAGAGCTTGGTCTCCCCCTGTGCTAGCCAGAACATCTGCAGTTTTATTATTTTTCCACAAAACAGAAGGCATGCCTAGGACAATCTCAGCAAGTATCAAAGTGTTTCAGAAGACAGAACTAACAAGGTCACAAGCATGTTCTACACTGATCCACTTCCTACTTAAGCATTCAGAGGCATGAAAATCCTCAGAACGCATACAGCAGCAACATGATATCTACATTGTATTTATTGAGCATGCAAAGCTGATGATGCTTAGCAGCGTGATGAGAGTCAGAAGGTGCTTACCTTGCTGTTGGAAGAAAAAACTGTGAGTTGGAGCTAATTTTAGCTCTGATGGTGTTCTGGACAGGTTCTTTTTAGAATGGGTGGATGGAGAAGATATATGTATGTATGGTCAGGAACTGTATGGGCGTTCTCTAGTCAAGGAGAAAACTGGGTATCAATGAAGTTTAGAGGCAGGAAATTCAAAGTTATGAATCACTAGGAATTTTGACAGAGTTTTGACAATGTTTTCTTGCTAGAGTTTTTTTGGATTTTTTTTACCACCCTTTTAATGGACAATGGTGTCCTATTTATAGGCAAGGCTTTGTGAATTTTTGAACGTTAAATGGCGCCAATACTATGCAGTAGAGGTTAACTTGTTCTTGAAGGGAGTTCATGAAAAGTTGTGATGATGGACAGCTTTTCAGCCTAGGTTGGAACAGTAAGAGGGGATTAAGGAGAAGTGACACCCATTGGCGAAAAGTGGCGCATAGACCCATGCCTAAGTCTGCAGGAGGGTGTTACCATGCCACACGTGGAGAGATCCCTTGGATGAATGCTCAAAAGTGGTTGTGAGCATTAATGAGCATTAAATGGTGATGAGATTTGTCAAAATCAAAAATCTTGTAATAGGAGATTTTGCATCATTACCTAAAACCTGAGCCAGCAGTTCTGCTTTACCAAAAAAAAACAACGTAGACCAAGCTCTGTCCTTGGTCTCTTGCTACCTCAATAAATTCTGAGAGTTTTCCATACCTTCCAGCATGTTCCTTTGATCTTCCTCTGAAAACTCTGGACTTGGAGATTCTGCTTCAGTACTATACCCAATCTGCTGATCCCATTACCTTCTGATCCCAGTATGTTCTGAAGGAGTTTCAGGCTTTGTTTCCTTCTTCACACTTCTCTAGCAAACTCTGTCTGAACTTGCGTAACTGCTGAAAGAGCCAGGTTCTGTTTAAAGATCACGTGCTGAACCACGTTTACAATCTCTGACTGAGTTGGTGTAGCTGCTGAAGAGCCATCTTCTGACTGAATGTTATGTGTTGAACCAAGTTTACAACTTCTGACCGTTTTTGCCTGGAGGTTGGTTCAGAAGTTCTGAAGTGCCATCTTTCTTAAACACTTTTTTTTTAGAAAAAATTCCAAGTATTTAGAATTTAACTTTTCCAAGGTAAAAATTTTGACTTTTGAGCTTGCAAATGACCATTTTGCTCTTGTAAATGGTTTACTTGGAAAGGAATGATAATTAAGGGCTTGGATTTGTTTAAGAGAAAATCTGAGAATTCAGGATGAATTCCTGAAGGATGAGAGGGAAAATTTTGGGGTACAACAGACCCACTTAGGAAAGAGTCCCCAGTGAAGTCGCCAAGCTGTCGTACTGTGTAAAAAATGCGAAATAGGTATGTAGCGGTAAAGATTTGAGATTAAGCCATCAATTAACTTAACTCACTCAACGAAGTCTCCACCGCACTTTATTGTTTCCAAGGGGAAATGGGAAAAAATAGAATAAAACCCACAATAAAATAAAAGATCAGAGATCGAGGTACGGGGGCCGGTTATGCAAACGAAAGGTATTAGCATCCTAAGCATCTACGGTAATCCGCAGGATCTACTTTTTTTGTTTTCTTTCAAAAGGTGTGTTATCTAAAGGTTTACTTGCTAAATGAAAAGAGTGAATGAGTATTTTCAAACAAAAGAAAATGTTTATTATTATTTTTGCTCGCCTTGGGTTGTAAGACTTAGTGCCTACGTACTCCCTCGTGCAATGGGAAAGTCAGAGCACCGTAGTTCGGATAGAAAAGACTTGTATGTTGATTGATTTTAAACGAAGAGACAAGTCATCATTTTTAGGAGAGAAATCTCAACTAACGCCCACAAGGTGTGAGAAAGATGGACCCTGCATCAGCAAGAGTGAGGGCTTGAGAACACCTCTAGTACTCAAGTGGAAAAGTCGACACCTTTATAACCATGGGAAAAGGAGGATGATCTCTCGACTATAAATGAATCATGTCTAATCTTGGGAAAAAAAGTTTTAAAAGTTAAAAGGTGGTCGAGTGCACAAAAAAGTTTGAATAAAGTTGAACTTTTTTGTCTTTTCGAAAGATGACAAGTATGATTAAATGAATTGAGTTTGTTTTTAAAAGAAAAGGCACTCGACGAAGTCGAGGTTTATTATGAAAGCAGTTCGAGTTTATAAATAAAGAAGGTTTTGAAAAAGATGAGAAGGTTTTGAAAATTAAAGAATGGGAGGAGATGATGAGAGTATCATATGTACATGAGGGTAAAAGATAAGGTAAAGAGGATCTGACCGAATAAGAAACCAATACTTGACATGATAAAGTCAATATAGTGTTCCAATCACTTTGAATTTAAAGCCACATACATATAAATAAACTAAGAGTATACCAAATTTCAGGTGAAAATAAATCACAAGCCGACGACATCAAAGAAACCCAAATGTAAGATAATACTCCAAGCATCGGATAAAGCATATTGAATCATAAGCGAGGAGCGCAACACCTGAAAATAAATCACGGACGAAGAAAGCGTGGATCATGAGAGAAATCAGATAAAGCGCAAAGGTGATGGATAAAGCTCACGGTACCGGATAAGGCCCGAGATATCAAAAGGCTCACAATATCGTATAAGAATCCCTACATCACATGAAATATACAAACAAATCCAACAACACAGGGAAACTTATTTAAAGCTTAAGTGTAAATTACTGAACATTGCACTTGATTAAGTAATTTTTTTTTAGAATAGATTCATGTATGAATCAACTCTAAGTGGTCGGGCAAAAATATATGCGTCCATACGATTTTCAAAAGTTAACTTGAATTAAAGTTTAAAATCGCAACGCAATGAAAAGAATATTAACATAACTTGAATTTATTTACAAGTGGATTGAATAAAATATAAAATCAAAAGTATTATGTATAATTATATATTTACATTACTAAATATTAAATCGAAAATAGTAAAAATAAATACAATAAAAATGTAAATGAATGGAAATTATAGATGCGATATGTGAGAATGAATGCTTGAAACAATTCTTGGAAACCTTCACAATAACAAACTCGTTAGTAGCATAAGAGGAATAAAAATGAAATCAAATGAAATTGAAACAATTAGAACACATGTTAGTAATCGCTATTTCAATCCACAACGTAAAGAAGAATAGAAAATTCAATTTACAACATGAAAATCAAATTTAATGTAAGCTTAAACCAACCAAAGCAACCTCCAAGAAGCAGCTATGCAAACCTTATGATGCAAACTCACTTAAAAAAACGATCAAACACTAGCGGAAACACAACGATACTACAAACAAATTATCCTTTCAAAGTTAAACTCAAAGCGGACAACAAAGCCATTAACAAACTCCATTGAACAATCCATCACGACATAAACTTACTCAACATTTGTCACCATGAATTCAACACCAAAAATCAACATAATTAACACAGATAACCCCGAAATCTTCAATGAATCAACATGATAATGACATCAATAAACCAGAATTTTCTATACAAGTTTTAACATGAAACAAACTTTGCAATCTTATTCAAACTATGTCAAACACAAACAACAACATTGTAACACTATCAAATTTATTTTCCAAAATTTAATGCCACAAATTTCAACAAAACAGTTAGAACTCAATTGTCTTCACATATTTCAGTTTCCACAAAATCGTCTCAAAATTAAATTCAGAATCCATTACAGTTTTCAAAATGTTTCAACTTTTCAAAAAAAATTCAGAAAATAAGCGCAAACAAAACATGACCAAATCAAACGAATTTCTCAGAATTTTCAACATCTCAATCAAATCAGTGACAATTATCACATTATTTAATCAGCATACCATTTAACAGAAACAACTTGAAAAGGAATCGAATGTTACCGAAAAACGTCAAAACCGTCAATCTGAAGCTGGATAGAGGTTGTTGTGATATTGAGATGAATAATGTGTCTGATGAAAGGTTTTCACTGGCATTGATGGCTATGTCGTGCAGAAATTGGAGAGTTCAGGCGGAGAGAGGTCGTGAACTCGGAAATTGAAGATGTAAGTCCGTGGTTCTGGTACGTTTGTGGGTTGGGATGACGGTGAAGATGGGTTTAGGTGTACGCGGAGGGAGTGTTCGGCGGAAGATTGATGAAGGTGAACCGAGTGGTTGTTACGCTTCTGCGGTTTTCGGAAGGTAATGAGGTAGCAAGGCTATTAGATGAAGATTGTGTTGAAAGGGAATTAGTGAGGTGGTTGATGATGGTGATGAAGCTAACAGGTTGGGTGGACCGGTGATGGCGAGATGGATTTAGGATGGTAGTAGTTGAACGAAAAAAATGGGTTTCGTTTTGAATCCCCAACTACTATCTGCTCTTTTACAAATCTCAATATCACTATTATATACAAATCAAAATTAGGTTTTGTCACTTTTTAGATGTCCAAAAAATCCTTCAATAATAAAAAGGATATAAAAGTCTGAACGATCAAAAAATAACATATATAAAAAATATTTTTTTTTTAATTTTCTAAATAAAAAATAGAGACTCAAAATGACTAAAAACGATTAAAAAAATGACATTAATCTATCCGAAAAAATGAAATAAACACATTAAAATAAACTACATGTCACAAAGATTAATAAAAAAATAATCAAATGGTCAAAATCAAAATAAAATAAGAATAAAAATATTAGTCTGAACAAATGCTTACGGTTAAAAACGAGACTTCACACTGTATCAAAAAAATAAAGCAAGTATACCAACGTGATCTATGCAAAACGTAGATTCATAAAATAGTCAGTAAAAGGTGAAAATTTGAAATATTTTCTCGCTAATTTTCTGCAGTGTCGAATCACTTTTAATGGTCTGTCTGTAAAACCAAAATATTAATATTATCGACATATAAATAACTATAAGCAATTCAAGAAACGAGTAAAGTGATAAAAATGCATGAAGTAAAATATCAGGTGTTTTTCAACTACAAAATGATGCAAACCTTGATTTAAACTGACTTTTGGTCAACTTAAATACGACTAATGATGCAAAAATATGATGAATGGAGATATTTATTAAAGATTGTGACCAAATAATAAAATATGATAAGATAATGCGACTAAAAAAATTATGGGCAAAATTTAGGGTGCAACAGATGTGCTATCATCAAAAAGGGAGAGAATGTGGATCTATGTGCTTGCAGGTACAAATGTTTGCAACTGTCAGATGTTCATGATGGTTTTGATGATGATAACATTATATTTCAAACGACATCACGTGAAGTATTCATCTTTCAAGAAGAAACAATGTTCTAAATGTTCTTTGTGATATCAAGATATCAAGCTAGATTCAATTATGACAACACCTAAGGTCAAACGACATTCAATGACGTTTTTGATGATTTACTGTCAAGTAAATATGAATGTAGGAGTATATCAATAAGCTATATCAACCCTCATCAATTAGAAGAATCAAGTTCCATATAGAATGAAAAATCAATGATGAATCAAGCAGAGAAAGTTAAAGCTTCAAGGTTGAGAAAGAGATGAAGTATGGAAGCTTCATTGGTCATGTGTTCAAGTGATTAGTTCATTCTAAAGGTATAATATTAATTATCTAAATAATAAGGTAAATCACTCCCACACACACACACTCACACACAGACAAACACTATCATACACACACACACACTCACACACAGACAAACACTATCATACACACACACGCACACTCAAAAATATTTTAAACCTCTTTAAATTTAATTAAAAAACCTTAAAACCTCTGGAAAAACAATCAAAGTGCATGTGGGAAAAACCAAGAGCATTCCTAATAATTTGTGAATCTTTTGTACACTTCCTAATCAATTAAGGACCTAGTCCAATCAATTAGAACAAGGAAAAAGACTCATAAATCGATTAGAAATACTCTTAATTGATTAAGACATAGTCGTTGTAGGGTTTCCATTTGGGGATTAGGGTTGTTGGCTTTTTGAAGATTTTAATCGATTAAACCTAGTATTTAGTCAATTAAATCATTAAAAAGTCCATGGATATTTTTCCTTTTTGAGCAATATTTTCTCCTGTAAATAAGGGACTTCTTCTCATTTTTTTTCTTCACACCAAAAATTGAATTTAGTAAAGAGCATATCATCTCTTTTGTAATATCATTAAAGTATTTTGTTATTTGGTTATTGAGATTAACCTCTTAAAATCTATTTTTTGTTTATGAGATCATCCGATTAAAATCTCTATTTGATTTGTGAGCTCAACAAATTAAAACTCAGTCTGGTTTGGAGATTAACCTATTAAAATCTCTTATTTGGTTCATGGAATTAGCCAGTTAAAATATGCATTTTATTGTAAGAAGGTTTGTTAGTTCTATGTTTTCATGGTTGTCAATATTTTGGATAGGCATATTTCTAAACATGGTTCTATGTTGTTGTTGAATAAGATGTTGTTGCATCTTTATCAACTGTCATAACAATTTTACTGTTATGTATTTTTAGTCAGATATCGAAGGAAGATGTCATGATATCTTGATTTGGTTCTGCAATACAATAGGCACTACTGTTTTAAATCTTGACAGATTTAATTTGATTCTGGACTATTTATGTTGGATATGTTTAAGTTAATTTTATAGGTCAAAAATATTTTATCTGGAACGTTTTACATCTTAAGTTGTGCATTACTTACTAAATTGGATCCTTTAGACAATTTAGGGAACTTTGTATTAGTTGTTCCAAGATTTAAGGAGATTTTGCTGCACAACAGATACAACTCTCAACTTGTGGATCAAGAAACTTCTGGACTCATAACATCAAATCCCATAGATTGAAGAAGTGTATTTTAAGAGAAGATCTAAACCTAAAGTTCCAACTTTTATCTTTCAACAATTGTAAAATTATAGGGAAAAAATAGTCTTAGATTTTGAGAGTCTTTTGTGTATTGTGTAGATGTTTGTCACCCTTGTATATTTCGATATATGTGGTAGACTTATTGTTCTCCTCGAAGCTGTGAAGCAAGAGCGAGTATTGTTCTAATCAACTCTGAGTATTGTTCTTGGTAGGAGCTTTTAAGCAAGACTAAGTATTTGTAATTTGGAAGTGTGTTCTTCCTGTTTTGGTTTTTATAGACAGCCTTTGTGATTGGGATAGGTCTTTTATCACTATGGTGATTGGAAATGAGATGGATATTTCTCATATCTAGGGAGGACCTAGGTAGAAGTAGCATTGGATAGGGACCAGGCGAAAAGTTATAAACAAGGGAGTTTATCTTTGAACTAATACTGCTGATAGTGGACTTCCTTTCTGACTTGGTAGACCTCAAAGTAGGGGATGTTGCACCGAAATGGGTTAACATATCATTGTGTTTTGTTTTATCTTTATGAAGTTTAAATTTCTATTTTAAATATATTTAGGATGTCAGGTTAACATCAGTCTTGTCATTGTTATGATGTCAGAATTGTTATATTTATGTGTGTTGCCTATACTAGAGAAATTTTAATTCGTATCAGAGTAGATACCCTGACTATTGGATGAGCTTCAAAGAGTAATTTTTCTAGTACTATTGTTCCTTGTGAAAGATTGAAATGATTTTGTTTTTGTTATCAATGGACAACCGTTTTTTTGAAGAATTACCAGGGTAGGAGATTCTTGGTTCTGAAGGGATTGAAGAGTATAGCGTAAGTTGTCTCTTTGTAAGTTTGAAGGTGTTGATTTCATAATCAATTGAATTGAAAAGTTTTTTTTTCCAGACTCATTATCACTGACGGACAAAGATACTTGGAAATTTATCAAGTCCACTCATAAAGGCATCTTGTTGTTTTGTTTGTCAGTTGAAAAACTGATCAAGAAGAAGATACTCAGGTCTCTATTCAAGAAATTTGACATGGAAGTTACAGCTATTAAAAAAAATAATAGCATGGCTTTTGTGTCCAACTCTGTAGAAGCTCATTTCAGTTTTCTGATTATTGGGTTCTTACTTCTTTTATGTTCCTTGGAAGACAACCCAATCAGAAGTTGAAGAGATTTTACAGTATGTTCTAACCTCATGTCATAACATTTGTGCTGACTTCAACAGGTCTGTGATGCTAAAAGAAAGGTTGGAATTGGTGTATAGATCAATGTTAAAGCATTCATATGGATGTGGGGATCTTGGATATTTGTGAAGCAGAATGCACTGCTTATCTCAAGAGAAACTGTATGGGTTTTCTATATCTGGTTTGACTAAAAGATGGACTTCTTTTGAAGATTTTTTAAGTGGAGATTTATTTCACAATGAGCTGGAAGTTTGTTTCTATGATTTGCATCTAGAATGAAGGGAGCTTTCAACTGTGAAGAGATAGAAGGTGGTTTATTTATGATCTTATGTCTTAAGAGAATGATGAAGTATCTACTATCTATGTTTTTGCTAGGAGAAGTGACTCTTTTTAATCCTTAAGCTTGATGTCTTAATCGAGTTTTGTAAGGATCATCCAAGTCGGTTGAAGGAGTTTCTTCAAGAGGGAAGATGATTGGAAGTTTAAGGAGAATAAGTTTTCTTATGAGATAATTAGCAAAGATAAAACTCAAAGTGACAAAAGGCTATTTTTATCAAAGGAAAGTTGAGTCAAGGATGTCATAATATTATGCTGGGCATTCTGCTTACTCATGCTAAAAGGGATTTACTTGCACTGAAGGATCTCTTTTGTGTTAAGTTAATTTTAACAGGTTTTGGTTATTTTCACAAAGGTCAAGTTCAATATTGTTTAACCAAGAAGTGGTTAGTACTC